GGTTTTTAATTTTTAATTTTTGGCTCTATTGAGTCTATATAAGAAGTAAGATAGAGCCGGATAGTGTTGTTGCTTTAGTGTTAACGTGAGACTTTTATAAGAATGACACCAAGCTATGATTATGTCCATCATTTGATGGACGAAATCTTAGCACGCTTTGACCCAAAACGAGGGAGGAAGTCTTGTAGACTGCGTCAACATGTACGTCGCATAAAAGCCAAATGGCTGCAGTACAACAAGATTCATCTGTCCTCTTTTTCTGCTGAGATCGACTAATGAATCTCTTCTTCATTCACTTTCATCCGAATTGAAGGTCCCCCTAACAATGTTATCTTATAAGATTCATCGAAACCAAGTTTCTCTTCATATATTCAATTAGTATATTTAAAATTATGCGTATCATTCTCTCAAAAATATCCGCCTTTCGGCGAGATGAGGCCTCCATGCAGAAAGATGCTGGGGCATAAATGGAGAACAAGTGAGATTGGATGCGATTTCGCTTACTGACTGAGAGTATAATAACCATTTTTCAAGCGAGATAAAGCGAAATTTCACAATTAACAAGCTAGTTGTACCCAGAAAGATCTGGCAAGCGAAGCATCACTTGCACTTTTTTGGTCTATAACTTTATACTTGCTGAGCTCATTTTCCTTTTGAGTGAAAGTGCTTAGTGAAGAGACTCGAATCTCGGTCCCACCAAAGGACGACCGTGGATTCCTTCTGGCCAGCTGTCAAGAGGAAAAGCTGGGCTCTACTTTTCTAGAAGTTTACTCAGAGATTACGGCCATGAGCTCACTCCTAAAAAAGGTCCCTAAGGTCTATAGCGTTGTGATGGCTGGCAGTCGTTTCGGTATACGCTTGGCATCACCTCACGTAGCCGCAGCCACAAGTTGAAGTAATCCATAAGACTGGCTTTACTTTCACAGAGTGATGCAGTCTGAGAAAAAGGTGCCGTTTTTCCTCTCCTGTACTCAAAAACAAAAATGTGGAAAATCGCATAGCCTAGCGAGCCATTGGGAGATAAAATGACTTACCGTCCACATTTTGTGGCGTATACAGAAAGTTTTTCTCCACCAATGCTCTCTCCTCTTCTTTTGGCCAGGGTACACGTCCGAAGACAACAAAGTCGTGTCGACTTTGGATTCTGGAGCCTAAGCCGGTCAGAAGAGGATCCGTTTCGCCGTCCGGTTCAGACTATCAGGAAGAAAGTCAGCGAAAAGAGGGAAATGTGTTGCCACATTAAATTCGGTTATGGTACATCGGGACACTCTAGAGAGCATTAATCCTTTTGGTCACCTGTCTTTGACCTGCCGTGATTCACTATTTAGTTGGCAAGTGACTATGGCCTTCAAGTATAAAAACACGAAGGTGGAATATCTAGTCCCCAACTGCATCTGCTGCAGCAGACACAAATGGACTGAGTAATTACAGAATAAACAGGGCAAGCTAATAATGTTTTTATGTTTACTGATATAAGTATTCAGATCCCATTTTTAAGTAGTATCAGGGTGTGCGAATTAGTGGGAGCAATCATGAGAATGAAGAGCCTCTGTCAAATTAAGCCTGACCCAATGGATTGGGCAGATCACTTTTGTGTGGGTGGCTTGGCCGACAATCTTCTAACAGAATCAATCTCGAGAGTACACTTGACAAAAGTCGGGGGATAAATTTGGATGATCAACCATATGCGAGTGATTGGCGAAGAACAAGGAGTGGGAAAATAAAATGACCAAGAGTAGCATCACTAGTTCGACTTTAGCAGTATCTTGCCTTTACGCTCCTATACTACTCACAGATTGCGCGTAATGATGCAATTTTAATGGCATATATAGCATGGCTTTCTCAGATGCTTTGGTAAAAGCTCTTCTCATCGTGAAAGTCAACTATGCCCCATAACCTAATGGAGCTAGAGCTGATGGAGGAAGACAGATAAACTTTCTGACAGATTTAACCATTAAATTGTTCACATTTTAATAAGGCCTTTGAAATTCAACATCATATGTCCTACTGACGGGAAACGTCTTTGAAGGCAGTGCAGAAAATTGTACATACTTCATACTTCTCCCAGTTCACTTCCGCTCAAGCAAATCTCTGCATGTACTTTATTTATAAGTAAATAGACTTGAACGGTCTGGGGCCTGAAATTATCATAAATTGACTTTTACTCAATCTATAAGGCTTCTGAGGGACTTGCCAAGCAAAAAGCCCTCAATTCGTGGACTAACCAAAGCCGAAATCGAACCAAATAAAAGTAGAGCA